GTACATACATACATATATAATTACGCGCGTTTTATAAAACTTTCGAATACGTGCGTTTATCATCGAATTATTATTATTACTATTATTATTATTAAAAAAAAAAAAACAAATTTTTTTTTTACGAAGCAAACAATTTCGTCGCATTTTAACATTAACGAATGCGTAATATTTATTATTATTATTATTACCGTTTTAATACCGACAAAATCACGCGCGTTATCATCATCATCATCATCATCATTATTATTATTTAATCAATTTAAAAATTTGCGAACGAAAAAAATAAAAAAACCAAATACGTTGTAATTTAAATAAAAATTGATTTTTAAAATTGGGGGGAGGGGAAATTACAATGATCGAAAAGAAATAAAAATAAAAAAAAAAGTACCTAAGCTATCATCATCATCACCATCATCATCATCATCGACGTCATCATTTTCGTCATTACGGGTTGTTGTGATAACGGCATCAATGTTATTAATATTTAGATTTTTCGTATAGATTTTTTTTTTTTTTTGAAACACGACACGTTAAACCCGTTTTAACAAATGTAAATAATATTATTTGCAAACGATAATAATAATAATGATAATGATAATAATAATAATAATAATAATAATAATAATAATAATAATAATATACAACAACCGAAAATTTTTTTTTAATATCGATTCGAACGGTTCCAATAACAACAACAACAAAGTTTCCCAAAACCTATAATTTTTTTTTAATTTTTTTTTCGTACCGTTTGTTTATTCCGGAAGTAGATAAAAATTTAAATTTTGGCGGGAAATTTTTTTTTTTTGCTTTGTAAATAAAATTAACCGAAAAATAAATAAATAATAATTGTTAAAAATTCAAAAACCCTGAAATTTTGTTATTTCATCGTTCGTTAATTAAACTTTTTTTTAAAAAAAAAGACAACAACAACAACAAACGATTTATTAAACAATAACAAACGTTTCGAACAATCGCAACAACCGGAAAATAAAAAACAACCATCAATCATTTTCGTAAACGTAAAACAAAAAAAAAAAAAAATATAATCCGTACATTTAAAAAATTATTATTAAACAAAAATTTCCATTAATATTAATTTTTTTTTATCACTTTCTTCCCTTACCCCTCCCCCCCCTATCCGTGTGCTTTCCTACCCCCCAAAAAAAAACGTTTTCCGGTTTTTATTATTATTATTATCAATAACTCGTGATTTAATATAAAAATTAACGTGAGTTAAACATTTTAAAGATTCACGTTTTCTTTCGTTTTTTTTTTTTTTTAAATTCTCGTTCCACACGTTTTTCAAGTTCAAGTTTATAAAAATTTTGCAAAAAAATTAAAAAAATTGCTACCGATCAGGACCGTATGCAGAATATTAACAAAATAATAATAATAATAATTTTTAATTTAAAATAAAAAGAAAAAAGAAAATTCTGGATTCCTCAAAAAAATCGCAAAACAAAAACGATTTGAATTTTCGTACAAATTTTATCAAATCAATATCGAAGTCACGTGACATAATTAATAATAATAATAATGATGACGACGACGATGATGATGATAATTAAAGGTAATTTTTTAGTTTTTTTTTTTTTTTCCACATGCAGTTGGGTATTTAAAAAAAAAAAAAATTACCTGGTATTAAATTTATTAAACGTACCTGATTTTTCATTTTTTTCCAGGCAGGTACGTGAAAAAGGCGGTGATAGGCCAAACGGAAGGGATGAAAACGAGAATTCGTAAAAGGTAAAAAAAAAAAAAAAAAAATTTGCAAGAAAATAGTTAAGGACCGACCCTTTTCCCGCCATTGTTTTCTATAATAATAATAATAATAAATTTTGTCTTACCTGTCGGTGTCCGTTGGGTGATAAATAATTATTCCTGTAATTCGGTTTACCAAATTTATGTCCCCTCATAGGATCCATTTTTTTCACAGACCCTGTAAAAGTTTTTATAATTAAATTACAAAAATGTTGTTGTTGTTGTTGTTTGTTTTGTTTGTTTTAAACCATCACAAAGTAATTTTTCAAAAAAAAAAAAAATTATCAAAACATTTCAAATCGTTTAGTTTTTAAAAACTCGTCGTTTGTTTTTTTTTTTTAATTTAAAATTCTTTTTTAAAAAGTACGTGAGCGTGTTGTTAACAAACGAAAAGTAACAAACAAACAATCAAATGCGACTGACTGACTGGAATCGGTACCAAAAGGAAACAACTTAGTAAAACTTCATTGAAAACGGTTACAACATTAAATCAAGTTGTTGTTGTGGTTGTTGTTTAATTTCACAAGTGAATATCTCCACTTTTACAGGTGCTTTTCCCTTTTTTTAATAAGAAAGTAATAATAATAATGATGATGATGATGATGATGATAATGATGATGATGATGGTGGTGGTGGTGTTAAAATGATATTAACTACTAAAAAAAAATTTTTTTTTTATTATTTAAAATCGCTCATCCTATTTTTATTTATTTTACGATTCGATTGTTTTGTTTGTTTGTTTGTTTGTTTCATCATACCTGACAATTTAAATAAAACAAACGAAAATAATAATAATAATTTGAGTATTAAAAAAAAAAAAAAAAATTTAATTTTTGGCGGTTTTTTTGGGTTTGTTTAAATATAATTTTGGAATATAAATCGTACCTGAAAATAAATCCTTCTTTTCCTCTTTCTCCTCCCCTTCCACTTCCACTTCCTCCGCCTCCATATTCACGACCACTTCCTCCTGTTTTTTCTGGAAACTTGTTTCTTTTTTCCATTAACTTTTTTATTATAACCGCATACGATCAACACACATCGGACGGACGGTTTTTTTTTAACCGTCAGAATGTGGCTTAATTTTTCATGTTTTTAATTTTCAGGTTTTCATACGTAGTAATTTTTTCATTCGGCCGAAGTTTAGGTAACAACAACCAAACGAAAAACGACGTTTAATCATTTCCTACAAACAACAACAACAACAATAATAACAAATATTAAATAAGTAAAATAATAAACTTGATAAATAAATTACATAAATTTTTTTTTCGTTTCCTTTCCCCTCCCCCCCTCATTTCTTCGACAACCTAATAATTATTATTATTATTATTATTATTATTATTACTATTTGACCAAAAAATTAAAAATCAACGAACCGAAATAATTTTTTAAAAAAAGGTTTACACACAATAAAGTTTTCATAAGAAAAACACACATAAAAAAAAAAAAATTTTTTTTACAATAATAATAATAATAATAATAATAATAATATTAACTAACCACGTGAACAGACATTTTACCGGAAATGAATAAATTAATATTTTTTTCGTTAATTATTATTATTATTATTATCATCAATACGGAATTATATGTATGGCAAAATTTGTTTTAAAATAATAATAATCACGCGTGATAATACGATGAGTAATAATAATAATAATAATAATAATAATAATATTAGTAATAATAATAATATTTATAGACGACGAAAAATTTTAATTTTAAAAACAATTTCCGATTATCGATTAATAAATTAATAATTATTTAAAAATAAATAAGTAAATTTCACGTGTAGTGCCACGTGATAAAATTATTTTGTATTAAAACCCCCAGCCGCGACAGGGGGCTGGAAAAACAAACGAACGTCATTATGATGACGTCATTAATAATATTATCCGTCGCCTAATAATGATATAAATTTATAAATTTATTTTTCAAAAAAAAATTAAATTTTATTAATGCGTGGCACCAACGCAAACAAAAAACGTGTCAGCAAAATAATAATTTTTTTTTATTTACATATTTAAATAATAATAATAATAATATGGAATTTCGATAACTATTCGCACGAAAAATTCATTATTTGAATATTTATTTTTTTTTTTTACGGTAAGTTTAAATATCATTTTTTAAAACAAAATTCCCGTAAAATCGAAAAAACAAAACGATTTCCGATAGAATGAATGAATGAATGAATGAATGATTGATTGATTTTTATAATAAATATTTATCGGAAGTTCTCACTCGATCATTTTTAAATTAATGACAAAAGACAAGAAAAAAAAAAACTACTACATTGTATGGTTAAAAAAAAAAATAACAACATACACGCACGCATAATAATTTTAAAATCGTTTGATATGAAATAATAATAATAATAATAATAATAATAATAATGATCGGTCGGAACATTGAAAAAAATATAAAAGTGTAAAAAATTAAAGTTGTAACAGATAATGGATTATAATATATAGCGTATAGTGAATGACTACTCGAGTCGTATAACGACATTCTTAATCACAAAAAAAAAAAAAAAAAATCTTCCAGCATTTTAACGCCTTTTAACAGGTGGTGGCAATGACCTTAACAAATATATAAATAAATAATAATAATAATGATCGGACATTTTTTTTTTTCGGCGTTAAATGATTTGCCTTTAAAAATTCTCTCTCTCGTCCCGGTCATTGATTTAATACAATAAAAAATTACGTCGCTTTGAATACGTTCAATTTATCATTATTATCATTATCATTATTATTATTAATCACACAGCAACATAAAGTGTGAATAAAACTTTTTTTTTTTTTTTTTTTTACAAATTATTTATTTATTACGTAATATTATTTTTAAATTAATTTAAACAAATATTAACGGATTTTGGAATGTTTTTCCAAAAACAAAAACGTTTCATAATAATAATAATAATGATTTAATAGTAATTTATTAATAGTACGTTTATTATACGACACAAAACAAACTCGAATTTCTTTAATTTATTCGATTCGATTTTTAAATATATCGAAAATTTTAAATATATCTCGAATTTATCGAAAATGTGTGTGTGCGAGAGAGAGAGAGAGAGAGAGAGAGAGAGAGAGAAATCGTCGATTTATCGCCGTTCGATATATATTTTGTTTTAATCTTTCGAGTTATCCATTATCCATTGGGTATAATAAGAAACTTTCGTGTAAACTCCCGGTTGTCCTTCCGTTCCGCAATTTTTAGGTCCGAACGAAACGATCCCTTCCTGATAGTAAACGGGTTGTCCTTCATCGTTTAATCCGACGATTTGCAATGGTCCACCGCTGTCCCCGCTGCAAGAATCCTTACCGTCTTCTCCCCCCGCGCATATTTGCGACTCCGTTATCGGTATTTTTTTCTTATATACTTTTAAACAATCGTTTGACGAAACTATCGGTAGCGTTGCTTTTAATAAAACCTGACTTTTGATACCTTTAAATCAATCAATCAATTAATTACACAATTCGGCGCCATTTTAAAAATTTCATCATCATCATCATCATCATCATCATTACCTGTTTCCGTTGTTCCCCATCCTGTAACGACCGCAGTATCCGTTTTCATCATTATCCTTTCGCTAAATGTTTTATTCTTGGGTAAACAAATCGGACGAATGGCTACGAAAAACAAACGAATGTTTTTATTGTTAAACAAACAATAATAAATTTTATTTAAAACTAAAATACCTACAGGTTTTATTTTCAATCTTTTTCGATAATCTTATGAGTGCAATGTCGTTACGTAGTTCGGGTTTATAATAATTCGGATGTGAAATTATTCTATCGATACCGACATCGATTGGCAACGGAGCGCAACCATAATCGCTCAAACAATCTTTTTCCGTGCTTAAATTATATTCTCCGAGTCTTACGGACGTCCTAAACATTAATAAAAATTATTAACGAAAAACCTAACGTAATTCCATTTCGTTTAATTACAATAATAATAATAATAATAATAATTAATAGTTTACGGTGAAATGTCTCGAAGTGCAGTAACGCAATGAGCGGCCGTTAAAACGTAACGGGAATTAATTAATGAACCACCGCACCTGTACTGTAATCCGTGCCCTGAAATATTAAATCGGTCAAAATTAATAATTAATTAATTAACGTTATTTTTTACCTCTACCTATTATTATTATCATCATCAGTTAAAAAAAAAAAAAAATTAATTAAATTTATGACGTGTATAACACGTGGGATTAAACAAAAAAAAAAAAAAAACATGAATTCGATATTTTTTTTTCGTAAGAAAATTTAAAAGTAAAAAAAAAAAAAAACTATTTAAAAAAAATAATAAAATGAAAACGATCTAGCGCCACGTCAATTGCGTAATAAAAAACCTTCGAAAAATAACAGGAATTGAAAAAAGTGCGTAGAACAAACAACATTTAAACGAACAACGCCCTATTAATTTTTTTTTTTTTTTTTATGATTTAAATTCACGTTTATAATGAAGAAAATGTCGTTCTTATTTTTTTCCATCCCAACCCCCCATTCGCCCCCCTTTTTTTCGGGTTCAGTTATCGATAAATAAATCACGTACGTGTATTGTATCCGATAAGTGCCATCCATGGGAATTCGTATAAAGTAGTCACGCTTCCACCGATAATTTTATTCGTTTCTCTTATTGTTCCGCATATATTATCATTATTATCTGATTCGTATGAAACGTTTGCCAACGGTTTTTTCGCATTCTACAATTTAAAAAAAAAATAATAATAATAATAATAAAACTGGTTTAAAAAAAAAAAAAAAAAAACGTTACATTGTTTATAACCTAAACGAATTCATTCTTACTTTATTATTAACGACGTAATAATTTTCTTTTGTTTTTTTTTCGCTCGGACAACAAACGACGGGATGAATACCTTCGAAACCGCAATGAGACCTTCGTAAATAATCAATCGCTCGTGAATTCGATCTCGATTTGTTCTTAATAAGAAGTTCTAATAAAGATTTACATTGATTTATGTTACGACAGTAACCTTTTTCACCTTTTGGATTAATACATTCACCATCTGTTAATTAAAACAAAACACGAATTAATCATTTTAATAATAAAAAAACCCGCGAAAATAAATTTAAATAATAATAATAATAATAATAATGATAATAATCTTACTTGAACGTACGACGAGAGTGAAATCACACGAACAAATGTCGCAGTTTAGTAAATAAATATATATTATCGTGATAATAATAAATCGAATCATTTTACACAGGTCATAACTCGTTGGATTTCTTATTAAACTACAACAACTACTACTTCTACCACTACTACTACTACTACTACTCACTTAAATCTCTATAAAATTATATATATGTATATATATATACAGAAAATATCTCTTTTATAATGGTCCTTTCCCAAAAATGATTCATACTCTTCTTAATATTATTAATAAATAAATACTTGGTTGGCAGCCATTATTATTATTATTATTATTATTATCGTGTCCATCGATTATAACAACCACATGCGATTTTTATCCAACTTTTACTTTTAACTCGTTTTCCGTTTCATTAGAAACTAGAGAAAATTTTTTTTTACAAACTGTTTAACATTAATTACATAATCTGTAATAAAATGAATTGTTATTTGTATTATGAGAATAAATTTTTTATTAATAATTTGATTTAATACCTAACAAACACTGAACACGACTGAACAACAACCACAACCACAACAACAACAACAAACGGGCTAAACATCCCTCGGTTGGGGAAGCTAAAAGGACAATAACCGTTGAGTCATTTTCTATTGACCAACCATTGTTATTTATTAAAAGTTTTTCGTTTTGTTTGTTTGTTTAAAATTATACAAAAGGTATATTATAATGGTATCCGATTTTGTCTTTTCTTTTTTTGTTTTGCGTAAATAAATAATATTGTTGTTGGATTATGTGGAATTTTTTTCAATTTTCAGCCATTTTCCTTTTCCTTTAAAACATCATGTAATTAGGTTATGCTAAAAATAAAATGAAAAAAAAAATTTTTTTAAATATTTATTACGAAACGATTACTTAATCTTTTTCTTTTTTCTATTTCTTACACGATTAACGTCATAAAACAAAATATTTCTTGCGAATTTTACATTTTATCGGAAATATTATTATAATTCTTTATAAAAAAAAAAAAAAACAACGTTTAATACAAAAAATTCACTTTGCATTTTGTAATTTTTAAATTTAACGGAAATTTCAAATCGAACGTGAGAGACAGAGAAGCGTAATAAAAAATATTTTTACCTCTATGGTAATTTATATTAGAGCCACGATAAAATCGTTGTTCCGTTGTGAAAATAATTTTTTTTATTTTTATTTTTTATTATGTTTTTATTACGTATCCATTTAAAATAATTTCAAAATTTTACCATTGATTTTGTAACGAAAAATTAATTAACTTTATGTTTCAGTATAATTTGCTTTTTTTTTTTTTTTTTTTTTTACACGCCGCCATGGGATGAAATCTATTTGCACATTTGACGCTTCATTTAAACAGGTATTTTTTTTTTTTTTTTCCTAAAAAGAAATTTATTAGCATTGTTTTTATAAACTGTAATCCGTCAGGTATAGTACTAAAATGTTAAACGTTAAAAAGTACCTTGTATAATCTAAACTAAAATGCTGGAAAATAATACATTATTTTGTGTAAAACAAATATGAGATAATAATAATAATATTATTTTTGTATTATTTTAGATCAACATTCAATCAAACTATTAATCGTGAAAATTAATGCTGGGAGTTTTTGCCAAATCCCTATAAAGCAACTCGATAAGTTAAACAAATTTTTAAATCAATGAAATAATATTACATTTACTCGATATAAGAGAAACAATGATATTCGAATGTGTCCCAAATCTCACATTACGATAAAATCACCGAACAAAATTGAGATTTTAATTAAATAAACAATTTAAAACATGGATCAAGAAGATTTAAACATGGAAATCCCTCTTTTGATTCAAGAACATTGTGAAAGTGGAATTTATATTGATAAATTCAACACGTGTGATAATATTGTCGAAGATGAAACAAATTTATTTAAAAATGGTGACGATTTGTTAAATAACGAAGCCATAGTCATAAGTACTGATTCGATTAAGGAATTGATAAGTGGAAATTCTGCGATGGATAATCATACATATGTACTAGAGGATAATCAATGTGATGCACTCATCGAAAAGCCATTGTTAGGCGATTCGTGTATTGCAAAAGATGATAATATATCTGAATTTTTACTCGATAACAACAACGGTAGAGATTCTGAAATATATTTAAATGGTCAAATGATTGAACTTGCCGATGGAACGACAGCTTTCCTTGAAACATCGAGGAGTGTGAAGGGCGATGATTATTCTCAAAACAAATTGTACAATGGTAATGTTATATATGTTGTGTCTGGGCCCATGTTGAACAATGATGGCGAAAATGTAAAAAGTTTCAAAAGGGATGATAAAGCGGAAGAAATTTCACCAGTGATACCACCAGAACAAAAACAAGAGAAAAGCAAAGGATTTCAATGCAGTTATGAAAATTGCAATAAAAGTTATTCGAGTTTTCATCATTTAAAGGTACCCCTCCCCCCGCCGATTATCAGTAAATTATTTTAATTACATTCAGGTATTTCTACTATATACATGATCAAGTTATTTCGATTAGAAATACTCTCGTATAAAAAATATTTAATTATTAAATAAATATTAATGTTAAACTTATTTTCCAATTTTTTGTAGCCCTGACACAATGTTAATAACATGTATCTGTATGTACCTTCCTTACGTCCCTCTACCCTACGTTGTTCCACCCAATCAAACATGATAGAATGATTGTGCCTGCAACTATGTGACAACAACTGGATTTCAATTTTAGGTTCATTTAAGAGTTCACACGGGAGACAGACCGTTTAGATGTTCTGTTGAAGGATGCAACAAAGCATTTTCAACGGGTTTCGGTTTGAAAACTCATTTTCGGACTCACAATGGGGAAAGACCCTATATGTGCAGTCATGAAAATTGTGAAAAAGGTTTCAAAACATCCGGAGATCTTCAAAAGCACATTCGTACTCACACGGGTATGATATCATCATCTTATCCTTTTCTACCAAGGATTCGTTTTTTACTAAATATAAAATTTGATTTTTTTAGGTGAAAGACCTTTCGTCTGCCCAATTCCCAATTGCGGAAGATCATTTACCACTTGTAACATTTGCAAGGTTCACATAAGGACGCACACGGGTGAGAGACCCTATAAATGTACTTATCCGAACTGCGATAAAACGTTTGCTTCGGTAACGAATCAAAGGAATCACATGAGAATACATTCTGGTGAAAAACCTTACGTTTGCTCAGTCGAAGTAAGAACTAAACCTTTTCTCTCAAAACCTTTTCCCATAATAATAATATCACGTGAAATATCGAAATCCGTTGTTAAAAAAAAATATATAATTTGTACTGTATGTATATTTACCAGAAATGCGGTCGTCGATTCACCGAATATTCTTCTCTCTACAAGCACAACATGGTACACAGGCAACAACCTCATTTATGTTTGATATGTGGTAAAACGTATCGTCAAGCTTCGGGATTGATGATGCACACGAAAACGGCACACGGAGAACTTCAAGAAACCTATTTAATGATAGATAAAAATTCAACGGAAGAAGATGAAGAAGAAGAAGAAAACGTTAGAGAAAACGAACAAACGGCCATTTTTTTCGTCAACAATTTAAAAATGGTGTGATTTTCATTTTTGAAAAAAAAAAAAAAATTATAATTTAAATCATTCATACCTTTTTGTTTGTTTCTTCCTTTTCTTTTCTTTTGTTTTCAAATGTTGGCGGCACCAATTTCTTTTTTTTTTTTTTATTATTATAACCGATATAAAGTAAATTATTTGGAAACTTATTGAAGTGTGCAACATTTTATATTTTTCCTATTTAAAATAATGGTGATGGTGATAATAATAATAACATCGTTCCGGTTATTACTTTATGGAATTTTTCCTCTTCATCAAGTTTTATTTCTCTCTCTCTCTCTCTCTCTTTGATAAAACCTCTTCGTCCTAAAATGAAATAAAAAAATTAATAATAATTATTATTATTATTTACAGGAAGGTGGCGGAGTCGTAGAAGATTCGATATTTACTGAATTTCGTGATGGATCTCAATTGAACGTTTGACGCGATCAAATCAATAAATAAATAAATAAATATATTAGTATTTAATTTAATTAAGTAAATAAATAAATAAATAAATAAATATATTAATAAATAAATGAAATTGTTTTTTTTTTTTTTTTTGGAACGTTTCGGTCGGATGACGTCATTAAAACTTTTCCTAATAAATGTATTCCCCCTCCCTACCCTCCCCCCCCATTATTATTATTATTATTATTTGTTACTAACCTATGACAATCGCGGGTTTTGTTTGTTATAGTTAATATATTCGAATTTAAATTGTCATAATAGGTAAAAAAAAAAAAAAAAAAAAAAAAAAAAAACTTGACGGACCGCAAATAATTATTTCCTGTCTTTAATAAATACGAATCAGGTATCATCATTATTATTATTATTATTATTATTATTATTATTATTATTATTATTATTATTACTACGAGGAAAAACTAATAAAAAACGTATAAAAAAAAAAAAAAAAAATTTTTTTTTTAAAAGTAAATTACCTTGTTGTCGTATCGTTGAATTTATTAATAATATTACGTGGGTGTGTGTGAATGAAGATATTTTATTTATATTTATTAAAATCACGTGATTAGCGTAAAAGTAGTAGTAGTAGTAGTAGTAGTAGTGAGTATTTTATGAATGAATGAGAAAATTTATTATTTTATATTTAAAAAAAAAAAAAAAAATTGTTTTTAAATTATCGAATTTTTCTACATCTCTTCTCTCTCTCTCTCTCTCTTTCTGTCTTTCTCTCTCTCTCTCTATCTCTCTCTTACACACACACACACACACAAATGTTTGATCGTTAATTTATGATAAAGAAAATTTTAAAAAATGATTTTAAAAATAAATCTGGTTCCGACACTGTTGTAATGATGAGGGGGGCATAAGATCCCACGTCATTGAATCATTGGGTAAACAACCAAGATAAAGTTGGTGGTATAAAAGGGTTTTTTTTTTCATCTCGTGCAGCTGCCATTTTGTTGTTGTTGTTGTTGTTTTCCTCATTTTTAAATTATAAGGTAATGCCTTATTTGCAACTCTTTGAAACCTTATTTTTAGTTTTTATTCAAAAATAAAAATTTTGTTGTTTTGATTTTTTTTTTTTTTTTTTGCAGTATTTTCCAAATGTTGCAAAATAAAAATATGAACAAATGGCGCATCGTGTGTGCATGCACGCACACCCGCACACACACACTCACTCATGCACCTTTTTTTTCATCACGTGTAAAAATTATATTTTGTATCTTTTTTTTTTTTGTTAACCTAAATACGCATTATTGAATTTCATAAAAGAAAGTCATTCATTACGTTGTTCGATTTTGAAATTTGATTCTTTTTTTTTATTTTTTTTTTCTCCCATATTTTTCTCCCCATCTTTCAAAAATGAGTTTTTAAAAAAAAAAAAAAAAAAAAAAGTTTCAGGTGGCGGATGAATCGAAAATTTGCTAAAGGTAAAAATGAATTTTCCATTTCTATTGTTTTCTTCTTCCCCCACCCCCCAACAATCTGCCTGTCTATTCACTCTCTCACTCTCTCTCTCTGTCTCATCATTTCAATTTAAAATCTGGAAAAGTCAAAAATCTTGTTCCTTTTTTCTATTTTTCTAAACAGTAGGGGGAAAGAGAGAGTGAGAGAGAGGGAGAAAGAGAAAAAAAAAGAGAAGGAAAGTAAGTGAAAAGGAGAAAGAAAAAAGGGAGAGACAAAGAAAGAGAGAAAGAAAGAGACGAAGGAAGTGAAAGAAAGAGAGAGAGAGAGAGAGAATTAGAAAGGAAGTGAAAGAGAGAGAGAGAGAGAGAATTAGAAAGGAAGTGAGAGAGAGAGAGAGAGAAATAAAAAGAAACTGAAAGAGAGAGAGAGAGAGAGAGAAATAGAAAGGAAGTGAGAGAGAGAGAGAGAAATAGAAAGGGAGTGAAAGGGAGAGAGGGAGAGAGAGGGGGAAGAGAGGAAATGAAAGAGAGAGAGAGAGAGAAATAAAAGGAAAACTCGGTACTATCTGCCCCTCAAAAAAAGAAAAAAACAACAAAATTCTCCAGTTGTTAATTCCACCAGTACAATGGTTGTTAATGGTTGAGTAAAAATTATAAAAAGATTTTTTTTTTTTTTTTGTTATTTTTACCCCGGTTCGAAGGTGAAACGCGATGGCGAATCACTTCTCGTATACAATAAAGCACAAAAAAAAAAAAAAAATCAGTCGTCAACGTTCAACAATTCGAGAGAGAGAGAGAGAGAGAGAGAGAGAGAGAGAGAGAGAGGGAAAGAGAGAGACAGAAAGATATTTTTTTTTTTTTTACGGTTATTTCTTTCATCGTTCTAGTGTTTGCCATTCTATCAAGATCCTTCCTGACCCGGAATAGTTTCCTGTCTAACAAAAAAAAAAAGAGAGAGAGAGAGAGAGAAAGGAATCATATTCGCCATATGTTATATATGTTTTTGTTTTTGTTCTACTTTTACATCATTTAACCAATGCTTTCCCTCTTTCATCATCATCATCATTATCTCAAATATATATTTTTTTTTTTTACAAATGTAGGCCAACGTGGCAGGAACCTTTTTTTTTCTATTTATAATTTAATAAGGACTTTTCTTTTGTGTTTAACATCACCCCCCACCCCCCTTTTTTTCATATTATTAAAAATTTAATATCTATCACATCTATCAATCATAATAATAATAATAATAATCTTATTGAAATCATGATGTGAAAAGAAAAAAAAAAAACGTGGCACTAGCTTTTTTAAAATTTCGCGTAAAAAAAAAAAAAAAAAAAAAAAAAAATTAAACTCACCCTTTATATCGGTATGAAAACTCTCTCCTCCTCCTCCTCCTCCTTCTCCTCCTTACGTAAAATTCATTATAATCCAAATTAACTTGAAAACAGGACCGAAACCTAAAAAAAAATTTAAAAAATTAAAAAAATATTTCAGGTACGTTAAGAAAATTATTATTATTATTATTATTATTTTAAATTATAACAGATTGAATGATTTAGAATAGATTTTTGTTTTTTGTTTTTTTTTTTTTTTAAAATTTATAATCTCGAGTGGGTTTTTAAGGATTCAACCAATCATCCCCCTTTCATTATAATTTCATCACTTTTCATCTTTACCAAAAAAAAAAAAAAAAAAAAAAAAAACAGAAACCATTTTACCTACTTTTTAAAATTATTATACAAAATTTAAATATAACCGATCTTTAACAGATTTTCATATATTATTATCATTATCATTACGTCCCCTTTTTTGCGGGGGAAGGGGATGAAGGAAATTTTAACGGTTTCCCATTTTCCAAATATTTTTTTAAAGGGATGTCAAAGTTTTTCCATCATCATCATCATCATTGTTATTCGTAAAAAAATTACGCGGACTTCAAACGGTAGCTTTTTATCCACCGCCCACTACTACTACTACTACTACTATTACTTAATAATAATAATAATAGTAAGGGTGGTCACTACTCTATGACGTATTTCTACCTGAATACATGTTTATATAAATATATATTTCGTTAAAATATGCATAAAAATAATAATATCAAGATGAATTTTTCAATTCACGTTTTTGAATTTAATGTTCGTGATGATGATGATGATGATGATGATAATAATAATGATAATAATAATAATAATAATAATAATAATAATAATAATCTTGCTCTAAGAAGAAAAAAAAAAAAAAATTTTTTTTTTTTTAGAGCCGGCTATGAAAAAAAAGCGGTAATAATATTAATGAGTATAAAAAGAACTCGTTTTCCCGCGTTTAACATACGTACGAAACCGACAATTAATAGTTAGAAAAGAAACGTAGAAAATTTTTATAAAAATTTTTAAGGGTAGAAATTAAAGAGGGATGTATTAATGTTAAAAGGGTGCATCTGATGCCACGTTTTTTTTTTTTGCTTCTGCTTACCTGACTGCTATATAAGATTTTAAAAAATATTTAAAAATAATAATAAAAAAAAACGTGCGACGACATTTTGAAAACGAATTTCGATTAAAAATATATACAAAAAAAAGAAAAATCAATTTTTTGAATATTAAAAAAAAAAAAAAATAAATAAATTTCTTATCAATCGAAGGGCAATAACATTTAAGACGACTCTCTTTTAGATAACTCAAATCTGTCATTGATAAAATTAGATATAAAAAAAAAATTATTATTATTATTATTTGACAGTAGATAACGTTTGTCATCCAAACTAAACAACAATTACATCCATTAAAATAAAATTTTCTCTACTTTTTCCTTTTACTTTATTATTTACCTCTAAACTAAATAAATGAGATTTCTAGGGGGAGGGGATGGGGAGAGGGAGGGGAGGGGGTTTGCGACACAATTTCGTGTAAAAATCAAAACCCATTGCCATTTTTTTCACCGACCGCCAAATTATTTTCAATCGTGAAATAATTTTTTCGTAACAACAACAAATCTCAACCTTCTACAGAAAATTTCTTCTGACACGACATATATGTATATTCGACGCATATATATCCATTTTGCAGTGTGATACGAAATACAGGTAGAATAAAATACATGGGGGTCATTGTAAGAAAGAAGGGTGGCCACCGGTGAACAACAACGCGTTGACTCAATTTATACGCATATTTTCTATCTTTATCTATCACATACAACTACCCCAATACATATTATTTTCCTTCCTTTCATCCCTCTCTCTCTCCCCTTCCTTTTTGTTCCTTTTCAAAAAAAACCAAACCAACAACTGGAAAAAAAAAAAATCACATACAATCAACTAGTCTCTTAACGTACGTGAAAATATTTTTAATTCTTGCATTTTTTTACGTCAGAAAAAAACAAAAATTAATTTCGAGATTTTATGCAAAAATTATTGTTATTAATAATAATAATAATAATAATATTAATAAAATCACCGCCTTCTATTATCCTGATTTGATTTCAACCCCCAAAACAAAACAAAACAAAAATGACTCTTACACGTTTATTTTCCCACCCCCACTCGATAATTAATTTTTTTTTAAATTAATAATAATTTCTGTAAAAAAAATCTAAATAGTAATAATAATGATAATGATGATGATGATGATGATAATAATAATAATAATAAATATAATGATAATAATAATAAAAATGCCGACATTTCCCTAACCACGCGCCAATACGGTCGCGCGTGCTTCTTAAGGTTTGACATCCCTGCGTTGGCCTCCAGCTGATCATCTTTTCCTACCGGTTTCTACCTCTCTTATAACATCATCCATCCACCCAATTTTTTTTTTTTTTTTATGAATTCACCTGGCATTTACGTGTATCCGTCTGTATGAAAAAAAAAAATCTTTCCCTTATAATAATAATGATAATGATAATAATACTTAAATTATTTTAAAAAATACACTGGGAATAATCACGTTTAAAAATTTATTATAATTTTAATAATTTTTCCAATTTTTTTATGTTAACGTCCTACATGTTATAGAAATATTTTCATAATAATAAACAACCTCCTTCCACTTTTCTTATTACTATCGATTATTATAAGTTTAGAACGTCTAAAAAAAAAAAAAAATCGCAAGTTTCGTGTGCAGACGTCAAATCGGGGAAAATTAGCCGGACAAAAAGAGTGACGTCATAAAGAAAATTCTTTTTTCAAACAAAAATAAATAAAATTTAAATATTGCAAAGAAAAAGTTTTGAAAAAAAAAAAAAAAACGAAACCATTTTAAAATAAAAATTTTTTTTTAAAGCCTCGGGGAAATGAATTTTTTTTTTCCAGGTATTTTTTTTTTTTTTTTTTTTTTTCAATTTAAAAAGATGTACTTTACTCCATCGTAGAAAAGGGGGGAAACTGTATTTTTAAAATAAAAAAAAAAAAAAAAAAATTGAGAATTATAAAAAAACTTAAATTTACATTTAATTTACAATAGGATCATAAGTTATTTTATAATTTTTTTGATATTTTCTCCCGAAAGGAAGGGAAAAATCATGCATCATTAATTTACAAAAAAAAAAAAAAAAAAAAAAAAGTTTTTAAGTTAGCTATTTTAGATATTTAGTTCTGAGGATTGTCACCTGGAAGGGGAAGCGCTGTTGTCGGGCTTTGGCACGCGACTTAGGTAAAGCCCCGCGCCTTCCGACGCTCGAGACCAGAATTGAGTTAGCTTTCAGGGGATTTGGGTGTTGTAAATTTTTTTTTTTTTTTTTTTTTTTTAATTTTTATTTTTTATTTATTTTTGTTTGTTTATTATTATTATTATTATTATTATTAATTTTTTTTTTGTTTTCGGTAACGTAAAAAAAAAAAAATTTAAACGTGCTGTGTTTCCCAGTGCCTTTTTTTTTTTTTTTTTTTAAATTTAAGTTATTTGTATAAGATATATATATTATAATAAAAATGTGTTAAGACGATAATAATGACTTTGTTAGCAAATAATGTGGTCGGAATGAAACCAAAAATTGGAATTATAAATGATGACGCTCGAATAACCGAACCGGTGTACATAAAACAAAATATTAAAATGGCAATCAATAAAAACATGATAGCGACGACGAAAAAATTAAATTCGGAATCATCCGTTGATAATTATGCGAGGGGAACCGTTTTGGTCAACAACGTCAACAATGCCGCGCATAGGAATCCAATGTCTGGAAACAACAACAACAACAACAACGTACGAACCATCGTTTCCAACAGCAAAAACATAAACATTCCGAATAACGAATTGTTACGATGCAAGAGAAAAATACATTTTATATCTGGACAATCTTATCCGGGCGCGCAACCGGCATCGGTCGCAAGACGTAACGCACGTGAAAGAAATCGTGTTAAACAGGTAAATAATGGCTTTGCCACGCTTCGATCCCACATTCCGGCTTCCGTTGCAGCCGCGCTCACATCCGAGAAATCGAGTCCGAGAAATTCGTCTGCGAGTAAAAAATTGAGCAAAGTCGAAACTTTGAAAATGGCCGTTGAATACATCAGGAGTTTGCAACAAATGCTCGAAGATCATAATAACAGTTTAGATAAAAAAGTGGTCGTGGATCATCATTCGGTCGGATACGTAGATAAACAATCGTTTGAAATTGACGAAAATTATTATTCGAGCAGTCCGGAAACAGTACATTCTGGAACGCTGGGAGATGGCGGTCACCTTCAATACTCGGACGAATCTCCCTGTCGCGTTGTTTTCCCCAAAATCGAACCCGCGGATTCCGATTGTTCTTTTTCACACAGACAATATTCAAAATCCGAACCCGATGACGACGTGTACGTAAAATCCGAAATGTATAATAATAATACCGGAAAAACTGATGATTTCAATCATCATCATAATAATAAAATCCACGAAACTCTCACGTCTGAGTTTTACGGTGCGAGAAGTCCCGTCAAACCCGTGACGACATATTACATAAATCAGAATAACGAGAATTGTGATCAAAATAATCAGGTACCGATTATAAATCCTGATGATAAATTGGATTACACGATACAAGAAATATCGGTCGACTCGTCGTCGGCTCTCGACAAAATAAACAACAGGAGTCCGAATCTCACAGTATTAACCTCGGTGTCTGCAAATCAAGTCGTACAATTTAATGGTCAATCGTTTTTGCATCCTCACTGTCAAAGAAATCCGGCCAGTCTTTCGCCGACCGTGTCTGAAGCGTGTTCCTCACCGACTCCATCGTATTCTTCGGATCATTCCAGCGTCCACCTCGGATCGGCACCTTCGGCTCACTTGATTTCGAGTTTATCACGTCTCACGACTCACGTCGGACCGAACGATCCATTTAAAAATCAAATGACTAGTCCAATACCGAGATCCGCATCACCGGTTATTGTTGTGAACGCTTCCAAGTGCCTTACTCCCCCGAGAAATATAAGTCCCCTATCGAATCCTCCTCCCTCTTCTACCTACCCCATCGTACAAGATTCTTCGAGTCCGTCTAATCAATCGAATTATTCGGTCAACATGGAGTTTCAAAAGGGAAGTCCGGAAGGTTACGAAAATTACGATTCCGTGTCTCCGGAAGACGAAGAGTTATTGGATGTTATTTCGTGGTGGCAACAAAGCCACTGAAACCGCCTTGAATTCATACGACAACAGCAACAACCCAAATCGTAACCTTTTCATTAATAAAAAGGTTAGTATACGAAAAGAACGTAAAAAAAAAATTTTTAATTAAACACAAAAAGGTCCTAGACGAGCAAAACTGGTATTTATACATAATTTATACTTTTAACGGTTGAAAAAAAATAAAAATGCCGGGAATAATAACGTGCAATAACAAAAAAAAACTACTAACCTACCTTTTTCTCTCTCCCTCTCCCTCTCTCTCTCTCTCTTTTCAAAAAAAAAAAAAATCTTCCCCTAAGTAATTCAATGTTGCCATTCCGATTCATTGCATCTGGATGGTTGCCACCCTGATTAAAAAATTTTGTTTTTGTATTTTTTTTTTTTTTCCTTCTTCTTCTTCCTCTTTTTTTTCCCCCTCCCTCTTCTCCATAATAATTTCGTTGTGTGCAATAACTTGACAATGCAGTCATCGACGTGCATACGAAAAACAAAATTTTTTTTTATACCTGAAAAAGAGAGAGAGAGAGAGAAAAAAATTTTTCATTATTTTTATTCTATTTACACGTGTATTTTATTATTATTATTTTAACATCGCGATATAAAATAAAAACAATCATTAAACTCGATGACAAATGTTTAATAACCCCCACCCCCACCTCCCTTTTCCTCCCCCCGATTTCATTCGAAATTACATGTATAAAAAAAAAAAAAATGATTCGAGATGAAAAAAAAAAGATTACGACAAAGATGGTGGAGCAACAGCAGCATCCCTTTAAACCTTAAATTATTAAGGAAGTAAAAACAATTCTAATAAATCAAAGTAGAAAAAAAAAAAAAAGTTTTAAATGTCGGGTAGAAAGAGAGAGAGAGAGAGAGATAGAATATCAACCAGATGTTAGTGGCACAGATTTACTTTTAAAAAAAAAAAAAAAAAAAAAAGGTTCCGCCGTTTTCTCTCTCTCTCTCTCTCTCTCTCTCTCTCTCTTAAGGTCGTATAGTACTTAAATACTTAAAAACAATCAAAAAAAATTTTTTTTTTAACGAGGAGAAAACATTCAAGTTTATCATTTTTTTTTTATATTTTCAGGTTCGTCGCCTGAGTTGGAGGAGGGGGGAACCCAAAACGAAAAGGAAAATTCATCTCAGTGAAAATTTTGTTTTTAAACTGCCAAAAAAAAAAAAAAATTTTTTTCCTTGTTTATTTGTTTATTGTTAAATATTAAAACCGGAAACCCGAATTTTTATTGATCTCAAAACAAAAACATTCGACATTTTGAAATCGCCGTTAAATTTTTATTATTATTATTATTATTATTTTTGTATAAAATTTTGTACATATATATATATATTTATATTATTATTATTATTTTTTATATGTAATAAATAAATTAAAAATGAAATCATTACGAATGTAAAAAAAAAAAAAAAAAAAAAAAATAAGGAAATTATTGCGTCATAATTAAATTAATTATTTTGTATGTAACGCTCGTGCCAAAGGTGACAGACGGTTTTTTTTTTTTTTTTTAAATTGTAATATTGGCACGAGTGCGTGTGCGAGAGAGAAAGAGAGAGAGAGTGGGGGGCAGAATCATTAACAAACAATGGCGCATAATCTCCGCGTGTAATTCCATGGCACATTCACACAAATAAAAATCTTTTTTTTTTTTTTTTTGTTATTGTTTGATAAATAAATACGTATAAATATATATACAAAAGAAAGAGAGAGAGAAAGAAAATTTTTTTTTGATATTCCGTCGTCCTCCCGTCGGACAAACTCTCCCTCTCCCACCCCCCTACCACAGATTATTAAATAATAATAATAATAAAAATAAAAACTTACCTTTAACAGCCCATGTTGTTTTCATCCACTTCTTCTTCCACTTTATATCACAGCATCCCAAATCTTTTACGTTCTTCTTAATTAGTTAAGTAATTAATACTAAAAAAAAAAAAAAATTAAAATCATCCCTTTTATTCATCAACCCTTTCTCATCATTAAAAAACATTCGTAATTAATTAAAATCACATTTTTATATGATTTTAACAAACAGCATCCCTTTCAGTATCCCCATATAAACAAAATACGAAACATTAAAAAATTAAATTACATGGAAATAACAAAATAAACAATTAAAAAAAATTTTCAAACCAGAAGACAATGAAATGAAAAAAGGTGGGAGTGGGGAGGGGGAACCCTCGAAGGTTTTTTTTTTATTCATTATAAAAAGTAATAAAAAAGGTCGGATTTTGTTCCCATATAGATATAAACCTTTATTTCGTGTCTAACCGTTATTACACATCGAGTCTAGAATTTAATTTTTTTCCTTTCTATCTATCTATCTATCCATCCTTTTCTTTCTTTTATATATAAAAAAAAAAAGGTTTCTTCTTCTTTTTCGAGGTATAAAAAAAAGATAAAAATCCTTTTAAATAATATTCTATGACATTGAATGTGTGTGTGTGTGTACCCCCTCCCTCTCCCATCGGTGTGTATCCCCTTTAACCCTTTTATTTAATTTTTTGATATTAAATTTTTTACGGTACCAACAAAAAAACGTTAAAATTATATCATTATTATTATTATCATCATTCGATTAAATAACGTATTGAAAATTTATCGGAAACGAAAAAAAAAAATTTGGAAATAAATGAAAAACGCATACATACATACATACATATAAATATTAAACAAAAGAAATAAAAGAGAGAGAGAGAGGGTAGGGGAGGTGGGGAGAGGGGAGAGAGAGATGAAGTCGTAAACGGAGAGAATTTCAGGAGCTTTTAAAACAATAAAATTAAGGCTTATAGCAGGTGAAGTTGGTGACTTTGGTTATTTTTTCAAAGTCAGAATACCCGTATCGATTTGCACAAAGAACTTTTAGTACCCACACACACACACACACACACACGTTTGAAACGATTAACACCATAAAACAAAAGGGAGAAAAAAAAAAAAAACATATTGAAATCAATTCCTCCCCTCCCCCTACTCCTTCTCCTCCTCCCACCCCCCACAAAAAAAAAAGTTTTCCATAGTTACATATATATCGAGTAATTAATCATTAATAAATATATAACAAATATATAAAAGATTTGTTACGATTCAATAACGTACAATAAATATCAATAATAATGATGATGATAATGATAACACGATGACAATTTAACACACACGTGGTATACACGTATTAATAAAAAATAATTAAAGTGTATCGAACGCTCGCGCACGTGCGCCCACCCGCGTTTATTTTTTTTTTTTTTTTTAAACGCGAATTCCTATTAAATTACCTCCCTCTTTCCCTCCTCCCGCCCTTCTCCTCCTTCCCCCTCAAAAACAAGTACGAATTTAAATTTTCTTTTTAAAAAAAAAAAATCAATAAAAAATAATAATTTATCACGTGATTAAGAATTTTAAATAATGCCCAATGTAAGATAAAATATAATTCGAGTATTATTATTTGTTTAAGACTAAAAATGTTTCAACCAATCTTGTGGGCAAGCCTGATGACGATGACGACAATGATGATGATGATGATGATGATGATGACGATGAAGTTAATGAATTCATTAATACTCGAGTCGTTAGAAAAAAAAAAAAACGGCATGCAGATGAGGACCGACGGACGGACGCACGCACGCAGGCACGCAGGCACGTACACACGCACACGCGTACAAACAAACATTTGGCCCATGCACTATAAATACAGAAAACCAGTGCGCTAAATTATCTACCAAAAAAAAAAAAAAAAACAATAATATTAACCATAAAAAAAAAAAAAAAAAAAAATATACACTTTGTAATGAAATTAGCAGTTTTTCTTCTTTTTTGAAACTAATAAAATTTATTATAATGGCAATTAAATGATTAAAATACTTTTTTTCATTTTTGGAATGTGTCCGCGTCAGAAAGGTGACCAAACTTTTATGTTCAAAGACTTGAAAAAAAAAAAAAAAAAAAAAAAAAACGCAGACTGACGCAGACTGGTTTTTTTTTTTTTTAATATAATTTGTTTATTATTATTATTATTATTATTATTATATATTTTCTTAAAATTAATTTAAAATTTTTTTGGCAAAAAAAAAAAAATAATAATAATAATTTTTTAACGAAAACGACAGTCGACAAAATTCAGGTAGTTATAAGACAAAAAAAAAAAGGTGGATGCAGAAAGCAAACATTACGTTTTTGTTATTATTATTATTATTATTATTATTGATTTACTTTCCCAAGATGATGATGATGATGATGATGATGGATATAATGAAGTGCATTTTGGTAAGAAAACAAAAAAAAAAAAAAACAAGGGATGAAGTTTCCTCGCTACCAAAAAAAAATCACATCCTCAATTTTAATTTTTGTTTTTGTCAAGAACACAACCTGAATTCCCGTACGAACGTACCTACGAACCTATTCTTCTTGTTTTTGTCAACTTAAACACACAATGAATGAACTAGATATTTGATATTTCGAACAGAGTCAATATTTAATAAAGACCAGAGACCCGCGCACACACACATTGAAAATTTATACCTTTCGTGAGAATAAAACGATGATGACGATGACGACAATTTAAACCTGGAAACGATTGTTTGGAAAACGTATTTTTTTTTTTGTAAAATTTGCACGTGTAAATGTTGACATACGATCGGGGGGATCGAGGAAGGAAGGATGAAAGGAGGAGAAGAGGGGGGGGTGGATCGACTTATATTCGACACCCTTAAAAAACATTCGAAAACCCCCTCCCTCCCCCCCCCCCAAAAAAAAAAAGAAAGAATATAAAATTTTTTGTTTTTAATCGTCAAAGGTACACAAACTCTTTATACCTGAACGAATAAAAGGGTTGCAAAAAGAAGTAAGAAAAAGAAAAATTCCAAAGAATCAAAAAAAAAAAAAAAAAATCTATATAAAATACATTCTCTCTTCTTTCATCCATCCAGGTCGCAGACTTTTTAAAAACGTTCGTTTTTTTTTTTTTCGTCGGTGTCTGATGAGGAAGGGAAGG